GGCAGGCATTTGTGAACAAAACCTAAGCGGAATCGTATCCCCTCTTGCAGGCCCCGTTATCCTGCCAAGGCGCCCGAAGCAGTTGCTAGGAAAATCGCATGCGAACGGATCGTCCGCAGCTTTGCCTGAGTGTCTGGACCATCAGGATCACCAGGGTTCGGAAATCTGGAACTACCGTAGGAGCCAAGGTCTAGGGAGCGGGTATAACTCTAGGACTCTAGGCTACGAAACTGCATGGGATGTGCCCCGTCTTACAGTCAGCGTTCTGTGAGGTTGAGGGTTTGTGGATCTATAGGACGATGGAGCCATAGACCCTAAAGTAGTTATAGGTCGGCCCCTATCGGTTAGCGGTTTTCATACTAAACCTACTTTTCCACAATCTCGTGTCCACTCTAGTACTGATTACCTCTTCCGGAGGTTTAGTCCGATGCTCATATATAGAATCCTATAAGGTAATCCCAAAAAGGAACTACCTAAACCCTAAACCCTAAACCCTAAACCCTAAACCCTAAACCCTAAACCCTAAACCCTACACCCTGGGGAGCCTCATGATGAGTGTCTTCGGGCCTGGCTCACGGTAGGCCCAACTCCCGCGTGCCCGGGCCAGGGCACGTGGCAGATCGACCGAGTATTACCTAGGGTTTAGGGTTTAGGGTTTAGGGTTTAGGGTTTAGGGTTTAGGAAGAACCCCAAAACCCACTTTTTTTTTGGTAGGTTCTTATTAGAAACCCCAATATGGGATTTATAGGGACCCTACAAAAAAGTAGGTTTTGGGTTCTTAAGGTAGCTCTCTACCCATAGGCCCTAAAGTAGTTCCTTTTTGGGGTTCCATATATAGAATCCTAGAAGGTAATCCCCAAAAAGGAACTACTATGGGGCCTATGGGTAGCTCTCAGGTGCGTCCACCTCTGCACCGGACCTCTGAATTGCCGAGGTTTCTCCGAGTTTTTTCCGGAGCCCCAGAGCACCCACACCCCCCAAAACCCAAAACGCTGAACCAGAAAACAAGCCCCACAGCCCCAATGACTCGAAACAACAAACGAACATGAAGCCATGTAGAAACCTGCCACCTCATAAACCCCAACATTCCCTTGTTCGCAACGCTATAAACCCGCGTAAACCAGCGAGCCCAAAAAAGCAAACATATCAACAGTCGGGGCCAGGCTACCGGATCCCCTGCTGACATGCCAAGCAGGCTGAGTGTAGCCTTCGAAAGCTGCGGGGCTTAGGTTTTTGCGGCAGGTTTGAGGCTTGGGTTTAGGGCGTCTGGGCTTTGAAATCTAAATGCCAACGAAAGAAACACAACTAAGAGTCGTCGGCACGACGTGGAGGCGATTGCAGTTTCATCCGTGCGTTGACTGCAGGCGCGCGCAGGTTCCACGGTTCTTTCAGGGCCATCGGAGCTCTTGGCGCGACCTCGTTGGCAAAGGGCAGTTCTCGGACAAAAGATACCGCTGCACGATGCTAAAACCCCGAGCCACAAAGTCCTTGTAATTCCCGCATAGCAGCCTTGTAAAACCCTTACAGCAATCTTTCTCAATACTCTGCGCCTTTCGTTTTTGGTACCCACCCCCACATGGGAAGTCAAAAGTCCGAAGTTGAATCTCAGCAAGCCGACGTCTGAGCACCGAGCTGTGTTCAAAAAAGTCAAAAGGAACCTGCTTCCCGGACTTGGGGCCCCGAGGGAGTTGCGGACCCCTCTCTAGATCGTAAAGCGGTACACCCTGCTCTCAATCAGGGTTCCCAATGCCTTGTCACTCCAGAGGGGTCGCTTAAGGGCTCGAGTTGTTTTCCCAAGTGTGTCGAATCTATGACGATAAAGCCTTAAACTCTCCGGGACCCAGACGAACTGAGTTAGGACCCTTAAAGAAGACCCTTGAGACACCCTTGTCTAAAAACTTCTCAGAACAACCGCAAACCCTCACTCCTGAACCCTAAAACCCATCCTTAAACCCTTCTCAACCCTTGCAGTACCCCTTACACTAGCCCTGGTAACCTTGTAATCGCTGCAGTATAACCATGCACAACCTTATGGCCACGAGTATGGCTTCGTCGACAATCCCAAACCCTAAACCCTAGACCCTAAACCCTCAACCCTAAACCCTAAACCCTAAAACTTGGAGTTTCGCCGAAGGCACGAGGAGCTGTCGAAAACCGAGGCGGCAGGCCCCATGGCCGCCAGCTGCAGGGAACTGCGCTGCACAGAAGTCGTCAGGGTTCCGGGAGTTTAGGTTTAGGGATTCAGGTTCAGGATTTTAGGAATCGGGCTCCCGGATTTTGTTGGTTTAGGGTTTATAGGGCTGATAGGGTTTAGGGTTTAGGGTTTAGGGCTGGAGGGGCTCGCAGATGTCTTCCGAATTCTAGGGTTGGGTTTATGGTGCAGGGTTCTCGGATCTCAGGGATTAGGTTTAGGGTTAGGTCAAAGCTTTTTGTTGAACGACCCTTTTCCGACCCGCTGGGAGTCTGAAAGTGGATTTCCACTGGGCGGTTGACCCTCGAAAACCCAGGATTTCGGGCATTCAAAACGGGGGGCTTCCTAAACCCTAAACCCTAAACCCTAAACCCCTAAACCCTAAACCCTATAGGAACGGCAGGGCTTTCGGGTGTTGGGAGTTCAGAGCTACAGGGTCTTTCCGGGAGCGGGCACACTGGCATATCTGTCTTTGAGCATAGGGTAGATACAAGTTACCAGTTACCTCACCATGGGAGGGAAGAAGGCAAAAAAAGAGGGAGGGATGGTGGAGTTTAGCTGTCTGGTCTCTCACGCGAACAGCCGGACCACCACAAGAGAATGCACCGTAACCTTGGAACAACCATTGCTGAAATTTCCTGCTGCCTCGTCCTATCCGCCCATGCAATGATCCGGCATGACACCCTAAACTGAAAGCAGAAACAACTCCCAAACCCCAAGCCCTAAACATGAAAGCCACAACACGTAAACCCTACACACCCACAGCCCGGTCACACACCTTGAGCTCGGGCCGTGAAACGAAGGCACGGGCCCGAAAAGACGCATTTTATGCTATCATCTCTGTAAAGGCTATAGCGATAGGTTCCACTACTTCATGCTCATGTCCCACATTTATTGACCCTCAACAGTCAGCCTTAAACTAACCTTAGTAACTAAACCCGATAGAGCCCTGCATCCCCACAAACATTCCCGAAAACCCCACAAAGGGAGGCCTGGACCTACCGAGGAAAGCTTTGTCCACGGAGGTCATCGAGGAGTTGGCAATGACGACGCAGCAGGACTTAGGGAGGGACATGCAATAAGGACCTTTGTAATTTTAGAACAGGGTTTATGTCGAGTTTGATGAGGTGTCGTATAAGGGCCTTCACATGTTAGCATAAGGCTTCAGGGTATACTACAACCTCATTTCGGGAGTTAAGTTCTTCATACCCACATCGGCCCTATCTATCTATCTGTCTATCTATCTATCTAGCTATCTACTTACCTACAGACCCCTACCTACCTACCTACCTACCTGCCTACCTACCTACCTACCTACCTACCTACCTACCTACCTACCTACGTACCTACCTACCTACCTACCTGCCTGCCTACCTACCTACCTACCTACCTACCTACCTACCTACCTACCTACCTACCTACCTACCTACCTACCTACCTACCTCTACCGCTCGCCAGCCATCTATCTTTCGTTCTGTCTATCTCTATCTATCTATCCATCCGTCTATCTATCTATCTATCTATCTATCTTTTTATCTATCTATGTATCTATGTATCTCTCTCTCTACCCATCTCTCTATCTACCTATCTATCTATCTATCTACCTATCTATCTATCTACCTATCTATCCACCTATCTATCTACCTATCCATCTCTCTATGGTATGATATATCTATACACCGGTTTAGGGCTGCAGGATGGTTTAGGGCACTCGGGTGTTGGGCATCAGGGGGGTTTACGGTGCGTTCGGCGTATGTTTCTGCAAGAAGGGTCCGTTGCTAACACGGATACATGCATGTCTGTGTGTCGAATATAAGAGTTTCAAACAAATGTGGACATGACGAATGAGGTCAAGGAACACGGGCCGTCTGGCTTCCGTAATTCCGATTGCAAAAACGGAGAGCTTTGCGGAGACTCGCCACGCGAACATAAACACACCAACATTGCGATGACTTGTTCGGAACGCCCTTCACATGGCTGAGCAGTGTGCTTTGTTCTCCACGGGTCACCTTCCGAAGAGCACATCACGCCTCAACCTGATCCCACTAACACTGCACCTGAGCCCTCATGTATGTACAGATCATCGATGCACCGGGCTAAATCAACACCCTTCGATTCCAGCATGTAGGCAGAAAACACTATGTACTACTCACGGCAGGCAACAGTGGCGTCTGCCAGGCCCTCGGCCTAAACGAAACACTACAGGCCTGAATCCCTGGAAAGATAATATAAAATCACCGAAGCAAACTTTATCATATTATCACTATGCTCCATGTCTCTTCCGAAGCAATCACAAGCCAAACCAACCCGTGCGTCCACCACTCAACCCCGAGATTTTCCCGACGGATCCATCTGCACACACAGTATATACTTCGTCCCGTGTCAGCCCTCATGTCACTGATCGGAACCCATAGGAAGCCAGTCAAGGCCTGTAAGTAAACGATATGCAGGGTACATGGACCTCGAGACAATACAAGCAAGCCGGGGTCCAAGCCGGTGCTACAAACCGCGCAACCTCCGCAAACCCAGGCGCGGCTGGCGCCTGGCAGATTCAGACACCTGCTGTCTCGGTTTCTGCCGAATTTTGGATGCCTGCTTTTTGGGCCCAGAACGGGCCATGGGTTTCAGGGGTGTTAGACTCGACTTAGCTATGCGGTGCAGCTAGTCTCTAGACCGATTCTCTTCACCGGGTGGATCTTCGAAAGAGACTTGCAAGACGATGAAAGGATCCCAACACCCCCGGAACAACATCTGCACTTCACCTTATCCCAGTTGCCAAGGTCCCTGATGCAAACAAGAACAATCTCTTAATGGTGGAGCAGGATTGAAAGCTCCATCAGTTTCAAGCAAAGTACAAGCTACCCACTGCTCAACTACGAAGTTGTGTCGAATCTCCGCCCAGGGCAAGTGCATTAGCCTGGATCCAAGCCGGCTCTTCTCACCTCGTGGTGCTGCATATAGCTTAGCATTGGAGGTCCACCGGAGAGATTCGCATTGTGAAGTCTCTGCGAAGGCAGATGAGTTGGCAATTTGACTCTCGGACCCCCCGAAGCGGGACAGAATCAATGCAAGGCCCCCCTCCTTCGTTTTCGTGGCCTGGATATTGAAGCCAAAGTGCTCGTCGGTTTTGCGTCAGAAGTCTCTTGGTGCGTTTACCACCTCTTTTTATCCTTCGAAGTTGCTGCAGGTGAACTTGAAGCTTAAGGAATCGGGTGGACATGCACAACTTCAAACAAGAAAGGATGGACCCTGCCTCCTCATCGTCGTCATCATCATCGTCAGGCGACCTGTCCAATCTGAGGCGTCGCTCCAAACACAATAGGAGCTCATGTGTGGATAGAACCTCGACTTTTTGAAACGGCAGCCACGGGAATTGGCTGCTTGGCTCCTTCCTGGAACCATCCAGGGAGTGATCTTCTCTAATCTTACAAGCTTTAAGCGAAGGGACTAGATCGGCGAGCACAGCAAACCCCACTGAAAGCCTCAAGAGGAGTGCAGAGCCCTCACAAGCGCTACACGACGGTGTCCCTCGTGAGCCAGGTTTCGCTGCATGGGTCCGGGTAGAGATTCAGAGCAGGAGAACAACTATTATTAAGGAGGGATCTGCACCGCTTCGTGAGAAATTCCCACTGCTTGCCAGCATTGCGCATGTAAGAGAATCGGGCTTGCTGCACATTGCACATTGTCCGTCGATGTTATCTATGGCAAGACACATGCAGTTCACGATAAGACGTATGAGAAGACACGTGCAGGGCCACAGAAAAGAAGCACGGAACAGACCTGCCACGAATGAATTCGCTCAGCCATGCGATTCTGGTGCCCAGTCTTTCCACGACTCGGCGGGGCGTAGAGTTCGGATGAAAACTGAAGAGGCACCGAATGCTGATATGGCTTTCCGAGAACAACATTTTAAGATCCCAGCAATATCCCGCGCCTAGATATGTTCCTGCCGCTTAGCTTGCACGGTCTGAATCTCGGAACCGAGCATTCTTTCAAAACCGAAACAACCCTCGGCCTGGACTTGCCGGAAGGACCCCTCCTGCCAGTCGAAGGCGGGCAAGATGGTGGGGCTACAGGCCTTAAAGGTTTAAGTGTTTACGCCCAAGGTTCACATCCTTCGTCTGACTTTGAAGCAATGACGAAGAAATTAGTAGGCTTTCAGCCGACGGCTTCGTTTGCGTGTGCAGTGATTTCTCACGAAGAGGCACCACCATCCGATCGTGAAGAGCCCACACACACACACACACGCGGTTCGTAGCTCAGAAAACCGAGACCGTGTGCTCTTCCCCTACTCGCAGAGACGAAGGAGCCTTTTGCAGAGCCTCGTAATCAACAAGTCCCGCAAGCGGCCTGGGTTTCTCGCTTCCGCCGTCGTCGGGATCGGACTCCGAGATCGCCTGCGGCACGCTCTTTCGAGCAGGATTTTACCTAAGATGTCGGACCTTAGGCCTTAGACCGTGCAAGGTTAGGCAGAGTTTTCACACGAAAACCTTGAGTTTCCTAGTGCCTTCGGCGGAGTCTTCTTACCCGCTGCAAGGTTCAGCGCTACGAGCACCAGGGCACCTTTCAGGGTCCTAGGTCCCAACTTCTAAGGGCTGGACACAAGGGCCTGGTTAGCTTGAGTTTGGGTTTGGGGCTCGCTAAAGAAGGCTTATAGAACCCAAAGGGTCCAAGTACCATTATAGTAGGTACTTAAACCCTAAACCCTAAACCCTAAACCCTAAACCCTAAACCCTAAACCCTAGTATAGGTATTTGGCCTCCTTCAAAGCACACACTCTACTAGTACTTGGACGCATTGGGGGAAGTGCTCAGCCTGGGTTTGGAGGATCAGGCTCCGCTCAGCACCTCTCAACCCGTTTCGCGCACTATACCATGTATAGGGTTTAGGGTTTAGGATTTAGGGTTTAGGGTTTAGGGTTTAGGGTATAGCCATGGCTGGGACTACCATCCTAGACTCTAACACCCAAGAGCCTAATAAAGCGCAAAGCCCAAACTCCAATCTCAAGGAACCCCCCCCCCCTCGAAAACAAGATGCTTTCATTTCAGGACGTCCCATACGTTGTAAGCCGATCCTCCCGAACATCCCTCGCATGACTTGGTGTCTGGTCAGAAGGAAATGCCGAACTGCAGTCCTTAGTATTCCCAACATTCCGGAAGACAGCCTGGACAATCAGCGCCGGATCAGTGTTTGCAAACGACGCAGCCCGCTGAGACCTTCCCGAGGGAAAGCATGGCGAGTCGAGTCGTGCTTGCTGTGGGGCAGTCTTCAAGTTGCAGCGTTCAGGGTTTACATATAAAGTGTAATTAGGGATGTCGTGATCGAACGTTTAGGGTTTCAGAGTTTCGCGCCATTTAACGATGTTCAGACGTCATGAATGCATAAGATGTTATTTTGGGGCTTGGCTCCAGCCTATGAGCACAATAGCTTCGGGATCGGAGGCTTGAAGCCTACACTTGTATGAACCTCAAAGATCCCGAAAGTGAAATGCCTGACCGGTGCGACCGCCGAAAGCCGCAGAGCATCCTGCGACCGAAATCTAGCTGAGCCTAGATGGCTAGAGTTTCGGCACGTATACCAGACTCGAGGATGACCTATACAAGCGACCTGACCAAGCCTCCGAAAAAAATGCGATGCAACGCTGGACACAGAAACCGACACCAGAACGTGATGCCCTAAAAATCCTGAAAGTCTAAATATTCCTGGAGAAACACCGAGGCCCCCAAGTATAAGATCTAACGTCAACAATCCCATAAACCTAAACCGTAAACCCGAAACCCTGAACCCAAAGCCTGAAACGTGAACCCTAACCCTAAACCCCAAACTATTCTAATGTAGGGGCCTTAATAATTAGAATAGCCCACTATACCATAATCATAAGAAGGAGCCCCCAAAATAGTATAGGTAATAATGTAGGCCCCTACATTAAACCGACCAAGCTACTATAATTGTATTAAGAAAACCCCAAAAATGGCATAGGTAGCTATTGAGGCCCCTACATTACCCATAGGCCCCATAGTAGTTCCTTCTTGGGATTACCTTATTTATAGGATTCTATAAAATATGAACCCCCAAAAAGGAACTACTATGGGGCCTATGGGTAAACCCCACACAAATCCCTAAACCCTCAACCCCTAAACCCCTAAACCCCCAAACCCTAAACCCTAAACCCCTAAACCCCCAAACCCTAGTTACTGAGGCCCCTACACATTAAACCCACAAAGATCGGCCTACTGGGCCCTTTGTCCACCACGACGACATCCGACCGGAGGCGTTGCAGCATTCGCCGCCGCGCATACGGGTCATAGTACTGCCTGCAAAAGCAGGATCGGTTAAAAAGAAGGGGCGAATGTGGTTTTGGGGTATATGATACTATATTCATAAGAAGGAACCCCCAATACCCTATCCTAATTATTATAAGGCCCCTACACTGTCGGTTTCGGATCCAGGGCAGTTGGGTGCTAAGTGCATAGGGTTTAGCAGCGTTTTGCACACGCAAGCCCAGTAAAGGCCAAAGCGAAAGCGCTCTGCGGAAGGGTTTGTTGACTTGGAATTTGGACTCAAATGGGAGTTTCAGAAAATTAGGGTACCTTCTTTTGGGGTCCTTATAATAGGGATCCTAGTATTTAGGGTACTATATTAGGGTCCCCTATTTTCGGAAACCCCCAAATGGCTTTGGGATCGGCTCGTCTCGGACCTGCTGGAAAGGTTTTTGCTCAAACATCCGGAGCCGCCTTAATCTGATGGTGAGAGCTCAGCTGGAGGCTTTGGAACTATCTCAGGAATCTCGTAACTCCACAGCCAGGATATCGATACCTACTGGCAGTTGGGTGCTAAGTGCATCTACTGGATCATGCACCGGGTAGAATGGGAGAGCAGGTGCGGAGCGCGTTTTCAAGATCTTTGAGCCTGCACAGCTTGGAGGCTTTGCCCTTAATGTTTAAGTTTGTGGCTTGGTTTCGATTGCTCTTCAGGTCCGCGACCATATCTTGATACCGCCAATGACAAGGAATTCCCGAAACACCGTGTACCGAAGAACCGAGCCATCAAACCCCTGAGCCATATTGTGTCGCCGAAGAACCCGCTGAACCTACCTAAACCCTGCACACTCAGAAGTTAAACTCTTCTCAGCCCCTAGACCCCGAGACTTTCAAAACTTTCTTTCCGTGAACCCCATTAACCCTAAACTTTCTAATGTAGGGGCCTTAATAATTAGATCAGGGTTTTGGGGGGTCCACTATACTCGAATTATAGTAAGGAGCCCCCAAAATAGTATACGCAAATATTTAGGCTTCTATCTTAAATTCAACCCCCCCCCCTCCCCAAGTTCTCCCCCGAAGGGCCGGCTGCTCTCGAGGCGGAGGACGACCCAAAGCGCCAAGAGCAAGAAGGGAGCGACGAGCTTGGGCATGAGCCTGGGCTGCTCAAATATGATATAGCCGAAGCCAATAAAGAAATGGTATATCATAAGATGTAGCATAACAGAATATGACAAAACACTAGATCAACTTGTATGTTCAGTTATATAACAAAGGATAAGACAAAAGATATATTATAAGGTCTGGTATTTCGAGGCCCCTTCCCCCTTCCCTCTCTTCTTGTTACGAGCATACCCTTCTAGGATTTACATGCTACGAGCCCAGCTGGAGAGCACCAGTCACTAGTTGATCTGACTAGTAATCTTTCGGTGCTTCGTGCTCTAAGGGTTTTCAGCATGCGGTGCTAGAGGGTTTTGAAATATTCCCGGGCTGCTGGGGGGTGATAATTACGGTTTAGGCGACTTGATTTGCAGATGCGATGGCGAAGGTCAGCCTGAGGTTTGAGTACTGTCGGTGCTACCACCTCGTTGCCGTTGACATGTTACTCTTGCTATTGTTGCCACCGCATCTACTGTTGGCTCTTGCAGAATAGCTAGATATGGCTACTGGCATGATAGATCTCTATAAACACGGAGAAAATACTTATCGACGAACATCAGCAGGCACAAACCAAAGCTCGTTTCCCGGGCAACCTGAGCGTTCGGCCACACAGCCGAGAGGTGCAATAAATTCAGCAGCACCTCCGCCTGCTGCGGTTCAAAGTTCCAGCAGAAGCTTCAACTTCAGACACTTCAGACTATAGAACCTGAAACTACAAGACCTGGACCTAAACCCTAAAAACATCGAAGCCCCGAACCCAAAATCCTGAACCTCCTGCTTTCTAGGGCTCTCCAGGGCTGTGGGCCGTCAACGCCACCCCAGCCTCCCCGACCAGGAACTGGCCCGAGGCAATCGCTGTGGCTGGGATCAAGGCTCCGAGCCTTGGGGAAATCCGCAGCGCTTTTTCGAAGCCGTGCGCAGTATACATACAGAATATATATATATATACATATATATGTACTTATCTACATATAATTCTGGTCATATATATCTATATACTCATCTATCTATCTATCGATCTATCTGTCTATCTATCTATCTATCTATCTATCTATCCATCTATCCATCGATCTATCTAACTACCGATCGACCTATCTATCTATCTATCTATCTATCTATCTATCTATCCATCTCTCTATCTAACTATCTATCTATCTATCTATCTATCTATCTATCTATCTATCTATCTCTCTCTCTCTCTCTATCTCTATCTATCTACCTACCTATCTATCTATCTATCTATCTATCTGTCTATCTATCTACCCATCTGTCTATCTATCTACCTATCTATCTATCTATTTATCTTTCTATCCTTCAATCTTATTAAACGATGAATGAAGCTGTGCCGAGGCTGCAGGTTTCGCGTTACTTGGGCTCCAGAAAAAGGCAGCAACGGTTTTTTGTGTGACAGGGAGGCTGCATACCATCGCGAAACCCGTATATCTGACTAAGCCCTATCAACCCTCACCCAAAAAGATTGAGGTTCCCATCGTCAGACTCATAGACACCCCTGATCGGAAAAAAAAACAAAGGCCAAGTGCAGCACACCGCTGAACGAAGGAAGGGCTGCAACTGGCAAGGACTCAATTCTAGAAGTGTAAATGGCGTAAGGCTTACGAAGCTTGGGGGTATCGAGCCGGTGCCGGCCTTGGAATTTAGCAGCGTTTTACGCTTGTCTCTAGATGGCTCAAAGGATGGTGAAAATTGCGTTGCAGTCACTTGTAGTCTTCAGGCGTCTTCGTTTCACATATATCTTTACATTTTCAAGCTTCCCAGGTCAGCGGCTTCAGGTTGCGACTTCAGCAGAGTTCCTATGTTTTACAGGATTCGCGGCTGAAAGGTCAACTCAAGGCCAAGATGAAAGTTTATGACAGATTGGTGTCTGTTTTCAACATCCCAACTAAGGGGTTCATGTTTCGGGCCCTTTCATTCGAACAAAGATGTGGGCTTGGGGGTGCGTGGTTGGAATAAAGACAAACATGAAGCCTTCCAAAGGGCACCTTCTGTCATCGTGGACATGCAGCTGTGAGAAACATTGGGTTTGGCAATTGAATCCGAATCTGGCAATAGATGTGAGGCTTCTGCTCGGCACAAAATATCCAAACTCTCAGGACCAGCAGGCTGAGTATGTTGAGGATTTCACATATGCCTGTGGTGACGGCTCAGCAGGTACTGTACTATACTGTGTCTCAACGATCTAACAGCTATGCTGATGTAAGGGGTTTGATGCAGCTAGTGGTTACAATGACGAAAACAGTGATAGTCCTGAAGATGGGGCGATGATGATGGTAAAGATGAGTGTGAAGATGGTGCTGATGATGCTGGTGATCATGAAAACGATGAAGATGGAAAACAAAAGAAGATACAGATGACAATAATGGGGATAACCATGATGATAATGATGATGCAAATGGCGAAAATACTGCTCACTACTAATGCTGGTGATCGTGATGGAAACAAATCAGTCTCCGAACCTCGAAGAATTGCGCCGGGGGCAGACGGGTTTTCTTTGGCTGCAAGCGGTACCTTTCAACAAGTCGGCATCCATCTTCCTCATCATAATTCCTCAACAACCCTCACTGAATGCTTTTTGGGGCAAGGGCTCAGGAATCGCTAGTCAAACTCCGGGCGTTAGTTTGGATTGCTGATTCTAACACCATCCCTCACCGGTGCTTGAGTTTGGGCATCTCTGATAGCACCCTCCCTTCTCCCTCCCGCTCTGTTGAGCATTCTGCGATTGCGCCTGACACATGGTAATTCTGCATGCTATTGCTACGGGACGACGACCGAGCATCAGGCAAATTTCCTCTAGTCTTCCGGTGCTAAAGATGCCGGGGCCACGAAGCGTCACAACGTGAGTGAGGTTCGGCACTTTCGAAAGGGAGATCACCTGCGTGGACCCCTCGTCTTAAGTAGGGCACGCTCGCAGCTCGTTCCCGGGGGCCGACGCCAAACCTCGGGACAAGCAAAATGGTGTTCCACTTGTTCCTTAAGGTTCTTTAATATTACTTTACCGTAATATACCGAAAGACCGCATTCTACGTGTTATAAACGTGTAGAGAGTGAAGGCTCAAAGCCCGAGAGTGAACAGACTTACTTGACGTCCCAAACCTCCTAAACAGCACACATGCAAGGAATCAAAACCAAACAGAATTTCATCCCTGTTGAACCGCTGAAAGAGCAACGTTGCTCTAGTTACTCTAGTTATTTTAGTTTTGACCCGTGCATGGAGCAGGCCATAAGCTCAAGACCCCGGCAAGCTGTCGAAGATCCGGAACAGAAGAATTTACAGGCCATTTCGTCTCGGAGGTCCGCTTAGCATATACATACCGTAGCATACAGTCATAATGCACTATACACAAACATACAGTAAGAAGCAATAGCCTCATGAAAGAAGGAGCCTAGCAAGGACCACAACTTGAAACTGCCAACCCTTGGACTATGCATCACAATGCAAGCCCCATACAGAGCATGGAAAGAGCACCTTGCTCAAACCCACAAACCCCCCAACCCAAAACGGCGGACTGGTCATAAAGTATGTCGTGGTCTCTTCGCGCGAACCGAACCTCGTCTGAGAAGCGGAAAAATACAAGCGAACTGAAGCTACTCTGTCGGGGTTTACGGCTCAAAGGCTCTGAAGCGATCTTCGATGGATCACACCGCTTTAGGCACGCTGGGCTCGTAGGAAGCCTTAGACTTGTATTATTTGGCCGATTATTATGACGTACCCTGATGAATCATTCGCATCGTTACTTAATCGCTTATGATATGACCTGCCCTTCATCCAACACAGAGCTAACACGCCCCGGCTTCCGAGCTTCAGACACGACAGCCCGACAGAGAGGAACATGATCCAAGCATCACCTTTTCAAGGCTTCGGGCTTGGGGCCTTCGGCGAGTATAGCATATCAAGTTAAGCATTACACATCATAATGTAGTATATCATGCAAAATGCATACTATAGTGTAGTCTGTTATACTACGGCATATAACACTACAGTCTCATAGTACATCACATTATGAGCAAGTTCGGGCTTGCCAGTTATCAGGCTTGATGCCGTAGGGTTTCGTTTGAACAGTTTGTCCGAAGGTGTCCATAGCGCCTTTTTTGAAGCCATGATTTGCTTGAAGAACTTGCAGCCTCCGCTTGAAGAACTTGCAGCCTCCGACGACCGGCAAGCTTGGCACAGCCCCTTAGCATCAGATCTGTCGCCACTGACGGCGACGCACATAAGCAAGCCATCTCAGCACTTCACGTGCTATCGAATCCACATCCTACAGGTGCCCAACCCATGCGACGCTGCATGACGTCACTTGGTATCTGAGGGCGCCCTGGCGCATCAACCTCACAATGCTACATTATATTATGTTATATTATACTATATTATATTATATTATATTCTATTCTATTCTATTCTATTCTATTCTATTCTATTCTATATATATATATATATTATATTCTATTCTATTCTATTCGATTATATTATACTTTATTATATTATATTATATTGTATTATATTATATTATATCATATCATATTATATTATATTATATTATATTATATTATATTATATTATATTATATCATATTATATTAAGTTATATTATGTTCTATTATATTACATTATATTATATTATATATTATACTATATATTATATTATATTATATTATATTATATTGTATTATATTATATTGTATTATATTATATTATATTGTATTGTATTATATTATATATATATATGGACCTCTGGCTGAGGTTCCCTCCAGGGTTGAGCGCTCCCTTGAGGTTTCTATCGGGGT